GCTTGAAGTATCAGGGAATGTAGTCGCCTGTGAATCCTGGTGGATGGCTCTGACCTGACAATTGTTCATATAAAAACCGAACGACATATCGGGTGGTTTTATAGCGACCCCACAGAGCGACACAAGTTGTAAAGAGAGTGGGGTCAGGAACAGGGGAAAGGAGTCGACCGCTCTCACACAACTCATGAGGTAGATGTCTTCTTCCTTCAGCTCTCGCACATAATGTCTCCCACGCCCTCTCACACGCCACCCTCCCTTCCCCACAAACTTCTTACATTTCCTTAACGAACATCTACTATAAACCGTCTCTCTCTCCCTCCCTCTCACACACACACACACCTCTTATGTAGCCCCTCTTACACACATCTAACGCACTCTCTCACGCACCTCTCGACTCACCCCCATACACATATAGTAAGTTTACAACTTCAAGTGTTTTCTTTCTACAGGCAAAACACACCTTTAATTTTTGTGCATGTCTGCAACGTAAAATAGGAAATTTTTTACTTTACATAATCTTACAATAAAATAAATGAGTTCTTTGTCTACATATTACAGAACTGTTTTTCTTTTCTATTTTCTACCAATTTTGATTTTCTTCTCTCGTTTATCCTTTCATTTGCTTTATTCTGTATGCCCGCAAAATCACACACGTATATATTTTCATTCTCCCTTCATCTCTCTGCAGTCCTATTTTTCTATGCCTCACTTTCTCTTTATCTTCCCTTGTCTATTTCTCTGATTTTTTCTTCTTTCTATTTATTTCTTTTTCCTTCTCTCCATTTCTCTCTCATTCGCTCTTTCACTTTCCATGATACACCTGCATATATTTACATGTATCCCCAAACATGCATCTGTTGAGGCTAATCTAGACTTTGGTCACCTGGTCCGGATGATCCGGCGAGGGCCACACTGCTGGCTCAAACCGTGTACATCACCACCATCCGATTTACCACAAAAAATGGAACAATAGCAACGAAACACGTTATCAACATCGAGTCTTATCAATAATACAACAACGCAGAGTTTTTTCTATAATGCTTGACTGTAAAGAAATGTTTAAACCTTATGATATGGAAGTAGCGTTAGAACGCCAAGAAAAAGAAAGAGTCCATTATCTGAAAATTGGGGGATTTTTATATCATATAATGGTTTAAATATATCGTTTCTAGTTATCTCTTACGTTAAACTCATAGAGTTTCAAGTAGTGAAATTGGGAACTTGTATTTATTGTAACCTATTCTTTTTCTTCTTCTAATTGTTATTATTATTTTTATTATTATTACTATTGTTATTTAGTATGCTATTCCATTAACTGTTTCATAATTTCATAAAGGAGGATAGCGAAGGATATTTTCGGTCCCGATTTTGTTATTAATTCTTATAAGCTATTACTTGTGAATGAACCTTAATAGTTAGGGTGTATTCTTAGTTATTGTGAACATTTAATGGTACGAGATACGGCCGCTGTTCTCAACTAATGTATATTTGTTGAGGCTTTGATAGGCATGTTAAATTTCTTTAAAAAAATTATGTTATGGCTCCTGATACCATTATAGTATAAAATAAGTAAAAGTTTATGTGACACACCATTCAACACAGCATAATGCATACACACACATACACACACACACTTTCAATTTTACCATAATACAAATATACCTGAATTATTGTTCATCTATATCAGTAAACAGTTTAATTCTATTTCTACCTACATACATTAGAAACTGTATAGAGTTGCTCTAAACTGAAATATATGAATAATAACTAATTCTTATAATACAACTGGGAAATTATGACCATGCCAGAAGCAATTTGCCAGTAGTTAGTAATTTTTAATTATTATATCCTTGAAACTCACTGTTAAAGTATATAGGTTAAATACACCAATAAGAATACATTTCTAGACTAAATGTGCAATGGGCATAGTGTATATTGCCTATCTCCAACCTATATCAAAAGATAATGTAATTAATGTAATTAATATATATATATATATATATATATATATATATATATATATATATATATATATATATATATATATATATATATATATATATATATACAAGACTTCGACTTTTTTATATCTAGCCTTGTTTTATTAGAGCTGCAGTACAAAGATTTTATTAGTTTGTGGGAACGTTTGAGCAGGACTAGGCAGGGAACACCACCGGCGCTGACGACAATTAGCACATCATGAATATTATATATTGATCCCGTATTCTCACTGTTTGATGAAGAATGTGTAACAATATTAGTGCGAACAGAATCCTTAAGTCTGGTAAATAGTTGGACTTGCTGCTTCACGTTTGTGTGAGCATGTGCAAACAAAACACACACACGCACGCACACACACACACACACACACGCACGCACACATAAGCATGCGCAAGTGCATTAATAATTAGATGAGCGCAGACGCATTCGCGCATACTGACAAGTAGTGGTTGGTCTATCAGTCTATCTATCTATCTATATACGTATATGCCTGTCTGTGTATATATATATATATATATATATATATATATATATATATATATATATATATATATATATATATATATATATATATATATATATATATATATATATATATATATATATATATATATATATAGATAGATAGATAGATAGATAGATAGATAGATAGATAGAATGTGTAATGTAATTGAAATAATCATCATATAAACAGATAAACACAAAGGAAAACTATTCAAATTATTTTTCAGAGGAGACTCAAGATAATCGGTGTTGATCAATAAACATTAACAGACTGAACGACTGAGGAAGATTTATGCTTGCTGATCATCAGAGTATTTTCCTCGAAAAACTATACACATAGAAATAGTTTTATACCGACACATGTGTCTTCCCAACCATGAGTAGTTCCCATGCATCAGTGACTTTCATTATATCGTTGTTTTACCCTGACACTTGATAAGGAGCAGCATTTATTTATTTATTTTTATTTGAACGGGATATGGACATATCGAGAATAAATTGGCTCTCTTGACAATGGATGTATTTAATAAAGGCAAGTCATGATAAACACACGTTACGTTAACATAATTGATAAATTTAGAGAGAAAATTTACAAACATGAGTCAAACTCGGGAGTATAACATTAAACGTGTGGATCTCCTAGGGCGGCGGCCATATTGAACGGCTGTGGGAGCAACTCACTTTTGGCACCCAGACATAAACAGACATTATTTTGCAGTAAGTTCTCTTTCCCATCACTTTTGGGTTGAGGTCTGTAGTGTATTATTCGGTCTGGATATGTCTAAGGCGTTGCTTCACTCGGTAATGGTTCGTCACTAGTGGCCAGAGTGAGCAGGTACCGGAAGCAGACCAACGCTGGCTGGGAATGTACTGTACGTGGAGCGTTCATACCTTCACCTACAGGCTTACCCCGGGTTCTTCACGTCTTACCTCAGATCGTGGCTGTTAATCATGTGTCGTTTATAAGCTTCAGCTCATGCATGTGTTATATCAGGTTATCTGTTTCTTCTCAGGTGGTTCGTATACCTCATCTCAGGTGGTTCATAAGCTGTATCTCAGATGATTCATATGCTTCATCTCGTGTCTCGTAACTTTACTTTTCCAAACGACATCTTCACCGACACTCAAAAGTCGCCCAAAATTAAGAGTTTGTCAGATTTTATCGCCATAGTTTTGTTAATTCCTTTCTTCGGGAGGTTCCTTGACATAGATACAGTCAAGGAACACGCCAACTGTAGTATACAAGAAAACTATATTTATTTCATTTCTGTCTCGCTATGGATTAAAAAAAATATTGAATGAGTTTGGAAAATACAGCTTAGTAAAGATATCCAGACACTTTCCTAACCTCTGATTCACTGCATCAGAAAGTGAGAAGTCAAAAGAGGAAGCAGCTGTAGGAAAACTGACCCTGGTGGCGTCAGCAAGTCTTCAGCGATACTAAAGAAAGTTATGATAGTTTTCCTTTTCGTCAGTATGTTTGTATCCCAAGGGCCTATGGTCCATGCTCTAATGTATTTATGCCCCACAACAACAAGGGTCTTTTAAAAACATCTGCTACGTCATTTTATGCATTAGACGATAGCTATTAGAAATTAAGAAAAGTACATCTCTGCAACGAAAAGCCTCAGGGAGTCTCAGTACATTATTCTGACAGAGCATTAATTACTTTTTTTTTAATTTTGTGGTATATAGCTTAAAGAGTACAACAGTGACTAAGTATTATTCAATAAGAAGAAACTCATTTTGTCATTCAGATAAAATACTTAGATTAATAGTAAATTCGATTTTTTTATTGTGAATAATATCCAAGTCAATGGAAATGTATAGGTTTTGGTTAAGATAGGATAAGGCCAATTGTCACCAAAACCCCGAGTTTATTTAAGGAAATAAATTTTTTAAACATTGAAACATTTTTTACTAATCTCAAGGTAACAAAACACAAGATTATTTTTTTTTAATATACAATCAGTGGACGGGCATGAAACGAGAGAATTAGCTGGTGCTGATAAGATGCTCGCCACTATCACGTCAATATTTAGGAAGCAGGATACAATTGGTACTGCATTATAGGTCTGGCGATGAATCAATCTCTCTACTCTATTATTATTCATGCTTCGTCAGTTATAAGCCTTTGATAAACTTCTTCCAGAAAATATGGTTATGAATATTTGCTTCCTTATATAAATACAGTAATAGTATAAAGTATTTTTGATATTGAATCGATTTCTGAAGCTCAAGTTCATACATTCAATAATTTAAAATAGCTGTATATATATATATATATATATATATATATATATATATATATATATATATATATATATATATATATATATATATTATTCTTATTGAGTAATGTAATAGTCATCAAAAAAACATTCCGTCCCCATGGTAGGATAAACATAAGAACCCATACTCGAACCAAAACCAACGAACAGCGGGCAAGGTTTGCGATCCGATTCTCACATTCGCGCAGTAAAACAAGCTCTCACCGCACCTCAACACTTATATCCTGGTCTTCTAAGGGTATAAAGGACAGGTATCCACCTCCTTCTGAACTTCTGGCGTCAGGTTGGGTTGCCTTATACCCAAAGAGAGGGGGGCAGAGCGGATGGGGGAAAGGAAACCCTGACATGGCGGACACTCGCCGCGCCTTACTCACTGACGTCATCGGTCAATAATTTCGAGGAAAAAAGATCTCCTCTTCCTTTGATTTTGTGAAGGTTTAGTCACTTTACACGAAGCCGTCATACGTATAGTGGTAATGTGTGTGTTAGGTCGTGTCACTGTCCCGGTGTAGCTATCGTAGTGTTAGTACAGGAAGCGGCTTGTTCTTCTTACCCTTAAAGAATTTTGTGATAATAAATATAACATCCTCCAATACACATATATGTACATATAATCTAAGAATTATATAAAACATGCGCCAAGACGGACTAAAACACATGTGGTTTGTTTTTAATTAAACTTAACGACAAAATCAACATTACTATCTTCGAAAGCCAATTATTTTTGGTATACTCTTAAATTTTAATAGACAACTACAAAATATCAATACAGATGAATTGTCATTATTAATAACAAACATTTTTAATCTCCGTAGATGACCAGTCATTACTGTAGTGGAATAACCGACTACTCGCCAATCATAGAGAATGGAGATTATACTGTACATGCATATTTGTCAATAACTTTAATAAAATATTTTTCGGTGCTTAGCGTTTTCGTAAAAGGTGGTTTCCTTTTATTAGTACGGTTAGGTAGTTCAGATGGAGTTGAAAATTAATGTACATAGAATAAATACAATATTAAAAGAGGAAAAAATAGAAATAATTTGTAAGACGAAAGAGAAGTAAATAAATGAAGAGCATAACAGGCTAAGCAATTGACCAAATGCTACTGCTGCTATTATTATTATTATTATTATTATTATTATTATTATTATTATTATTATTATTATTATTGCTGTTACTACTACTGTTGCAACTATTACTACTACTACTACCACCACAACAACAACTACTACTACTAGTACTTCTACTACTACTACTATTAATAATAATAATAATAATAATAATAATAATAATAATAATTAATAATAGTAATAATTGAATATTAATAATTTCAGACAAAATGCAAAAACATAAAACAAGTTGCACCAAGCAACCTAATCAACAAACAATACAGAATACAAAGGAAAAGTAAAATAAATGACAAAAATATTCCCTCAACAACAAAATTTAAGTAACATAATATATACAGTAGAAGGTGAAGAAGGAGGCAGACGGAGAAGATAGAAATAGGAGAATAATAATAGACAATAATAATAATATAGGTACTTCTACTAGTAATAATTTCAATAATGAAAATTGCAATGATGAAAAAATCAGTAATCCATAAAATAAAATGAAATTAGTAATGATAATAATAATAATAATAATAATAATATAAATAATAATAATAATAATAATTTCACTCTAGGATAGCTACTTATGTATTAGGATATTTAATATTAAGGTAATAAAATGGTGGCGAAGGAATGGCTATTGGGGGAGGCTGGAGGCCATTTAAAAAAAATAGTAGTAGTAGTAGTATTCTTACAGTAGTGATTATGTAGATATTTTTGTTTTAATCTACATTAACTGCGGACGTTATTAACCATATCATGCTTCGTAATTTTGCTACAACGACATTGTTCGGTTTAAAACGATATCCCAAATAAATTGCATAGTACGTGGCAACTTTTCTAGTATTATCATATTTTTAAATATTGTTTTTTCTCTGAGAATCTTTTCATCAAATTCAAAGTCTTATAACAGGTGTCTATTAATAAGCTTCACAGTGAAAAAATAAACGTATATTGGAAAAAATTTCGAAGCCTTAAAATTGCATTAATGGTAAGAATATCATGAAAAAATTCTTAATACCGAATTAACAGATAAGCAGAAAAGTTTATTTGCCATATAATTATATTACTACATCTCGACTAGACTTCATATAATCTACACCTTACATGGTTAATACACTAAGATGACTGGTGTAGATTGTTACAACACTGTTCATAACGTCTTCCGTCCCGTCAGGAGGAAAGAGATCCCATAACACTAACACAACTCTCAGCCGAAAGATGGTTTTTCTTACTTCTTACTGGTGTTACCACTGTGTGTTCAGGACGAAGAAATTATAACTTTTCACTTTATCATTAATATTTCCTGTATGGTACCAGAAATATAAGGCCATGCAATGTTATACTAAATAAAGTGAAAATATAGTAAACTTTGGTCTTTTAAGTTTGAATAAAAATATATATATTTTCCGATTAACTGGATATCTTTGCCCATATATTGAGTGACTGAATCAATGAATAGTGAAGTAAGCACATGTGCAGACATTTAAGAGTCTCCAGACATTACATGACAAGAAACAGTTGCTTGGTCACTTTGCTGCATTATATACCAGTAGCACAGCGCCCCGTCACCACGGTTGTCAATTACTGCCTATTACCCACCCCTGTTTAGGATCAAAACTGAAAACGGGTAAATGATTCAGATATCTTGGCAATACTACCAATAGATATCAATAGGTCATTGTCAGGCTCATCACTATATATTCACACATACTGTACAGTAGTATAAATGGGCTTTTAATCAACATAGACTATTTATGGTCAGATATATTATTATAACATTATAATTTGAACATCCAGATTTATGTAATTCTTAGGATATTAAAATAGAACAGCTTTTTAATGGTGGCCACCTCTCACCCTCACTGGGATGTTTGTTATATAATATTCATAGCTATACTTAATACAGTATCCACAATAACCAGCCATTAATGTATATACTGTATGTGTCAGTTGTAGACGTATTATGAAGCAGCTCATAATGTGTGGACACAATTTCTCCTTCACATTATTGAAAAAAAATATTCAGTGTATATATATATAATCTTATTATGGGTTTGTCCATGGGTGTGTGTGTGTGTGTGTGTGTGTGTGTGTGTGTGTAAATAAAGTTTTTATAACGCACATATATTCATATTGCATCGAAGAAGTTGGTCAGCACTTAAAGAAACTAACATTTCCTTCAACGATGTTAATCCTTAGAGCACATATTAGGTACAAATATCATGGCGAAATATAGATTAGGAAGCTCATATAGCTGATTCATAACTTTTAATTGCTTTTAATAACGTTCAATGTATTTCCTTGTCATTATTCTACAAAAAAAATATCTTCATTATGATTTTAATTTACACAAAATGGAACGAAAGGTTTTATATAAAGGATTTTTCTAATATAAACTATAATTGTAACTGCAAGGAAAAACTCCTTAAAATAAATATTTAATGTTTCATTTATAACTGAACAAGACTCTTCACACCTCCTTCAGATATACAGAAGTGAAACTAACGATAAAGATATTTGATTGAACGGTTTTCCCAACATTACTCAATAAGGAATAGTTGAGCACTTGAAAAAATAATTATATGTTTCAACACAGTATTAGTAGAAAAATAGAAGTTATAAGATCATTTTCATATTGTTTTTAAATTTGCGCTTCTATCATTTAATATTAACACTTCCTCTGAATATCTAGTTAAAACAAACTAGTGACAGAAACACACTTCGACCTCAACAATATACTGTATAACATCATGACAGAGTTGCTGTTCCTCTGGAACAGAATGTTGAATCTTCACAGCATCTTTAAATATAATGAATCATATGATAATTTTAGATACAGGATTATTTTTTCTCGTCTTCGAATGTCACACACCATATTAGAAGCGATATTAGAGTCAATTTTTAATGACACTAGCAAACTGTGTCTACCATAATAACTGCAAGATATGTGTCTTCCTAAATTTGTAATTGTTGATGTTCAGAGTAATACCTTACCTGTTGAGCACAGTAAATAAGTATATCATCAATCAGGGATGTTACTCTAAATCACTTCCCTCCTCAGATGCTGTATGTTGACGTTACGGATATAATATACCTCTGCGCTTCAACAACTAAAGCCTTGAAGCGTGTCTACTAGATTAGTAAATACACGAGTCTTAACAATTAGAAAATAAGAGAGGCATCTTCCCCAGGCAGGCAAAGTTACGTACAAACATATATGAATTCCACACATTTTCAAAAGATCAGGTATTTTTCTTAAAAAACAACACTGGTGATACATTAATATGCTCTCTCGAACTACATACAATACAGTATTTATAAAATTTGCTTTGGTAGTTCAGTTGGATATATTTTAATTCTTTGAAGTTGATTGTAGGAAGTGAAGGATTTTCACTACTTTACTTATGATAAATCTGTAACAATACTAACTATAGCGGGATTATTAGGTGTAAAGGAATATGAGATGGGAGGCAGAAGCAGCACAAACTCAATAACAAGTGTGGGACTGAGGAATTCAACTGTATGTTGCTATATTTTTATTTGTCTTAAGTATCTCAGTAATATTTGGTAGTACTATTACCTCGCCGACACATCCCTATAAAGTTACTTCTATTATAAGTGTTAAGCTTTACTAACATTCAATGGGGTGAGAACTTGTATGTCACTTACAATATTATTTGAATTCATTTTCATTGAATGTTGTCATTGCAGACAGACAGGAAATGAAGAAAAGGAAATATCATCAAGATATCGCAAACTGGCGTTTTGTGCAAAATGGTAACTAGATTTTTTCCATCTCTTGTGCAACAATACCGAATATTCGTGTCTATCTGACAGACTAGGGAATGACAACTTGGCATCTGTGAGCATTTTATGAAATTTGCTTAAAGAAACAGTATTTATTTAGTTCGAAAGTCTGTGTCGACATGACAAACGTCCTTCCCTTTTGATGACAGTCTTGTCTTGTCTGGAAGGAAAAAAAATCATCTGTAACTTTACAATTCACAATTATAATTTTGTTTTTAAATTAATCGAAAATAAATCTTTGTCAAGTGGTTGTGTCGCATGTTTTGCTTATTTTTCAAATATAACTGACATATATTTTTTTTTATGTGCAATGCATTGGAGTTTTCAACCACAATAGTTGGTGGATGTTGTGAAGTCCCGGAAAATTGGTATCGACTGTCAGTGGACCTTCTGCAAGATCTTCTAGTAAAGCGAGTTGTGGCGTTATATTATTCAAGGAAACCTGGAAGGTGCCA